ATGTATTTTAGTTTTCCTTTGTGTGTTTCTTGTCTTCTGCAAACTCTAATCCTTTGTTAATCTCATCCATCTTGGTCAGAATTGGAAGCCTTCATTGCCATGAAAGTAAGCAGAAGAGAAAAATGCAAAAATGTAAGTTAATTTGGATCTTCTGGATATGGGAGACGATTTTAGTGGTTACAAAAATAAAGATAGAAGCCACACAGGGAAAGCCTTCATAGATTCAAGTATTTAAAATTTAAATTTCTATAACATCCTGAAAAGAGATCCTAAAAATTTGCTTCATGTGGTGGCACATGATTTTAGTCCCAGCCACTCAGGGGCTGAAGTGGGAGGATTGCTGGAAGCTCAGGACTTTGAGACCAGCCTGGGAAATGTAATGACACCCCATCGCAAAACAGAAACAAACCAGCAAACAGTAGCAAACAGCCAATGGTATCAGCCACATACGTGACAAAGTTAATGTTCCTAACATAGAAAGTGAGAAAAACGTTCAGTATTTATGCTCAGTATTTATGTAGGTGCATAGATAATACACCAAAGTGGAAATAAAAGTGACCAATATAAATGAGAAAGAAACTCCCATTACTATGCCAAAGAATTAAGCTACCATTTGCAGCTGGGCATGGTGGCTCATGCCTGTAATCCCAGCACTTTGGGAGGCCGAGGTGGGTGGATCACTTGAAGTTAGGATTTCCAGACAAGCCTGGTCAACATGGTGAAACCCCATCTCTCCACGCCTCGTGCCTGTAATCTCAGCATTTTGGGAAGCTGACATGATAGGACTGCCTAAGCCCAGGAGTTCGAGACCAACCTAGGCAATATGGCAAAACCATCTCTACAAAAAATACAAAACTTAGTCGGGTGTGGTGGCATGTGCCTGTGGTCCTAGCTACTTGGGAGGATGAGGTGGGAGGATCACCTGAGCCAGGGAGGCAGAAGTTACAGTAAGCAGAGATCATGCCACTGCACTCCAAACGGGGTGACAGAGTGAGACATTGTTTAAAAAAAATTATTGCAAATGCAGCATGCAAAGAAGAAATGGGGTAAGGAGGGTGGTCAGAAAGGTCACTGAGGCAGTGCAGGCAGGAGGGATGATGGGGTGGAGAGCTGCTTCTGCCCCGGAGGGCACTGCTGCCATTTTACCAGGGCTTTGATTGGCTTCCCCCTGGCTGCTGGGTGGCTCTTGACCAAGCAGAGCTCAGAGACCACCATCTGGTGTGATCCACGAAGGGTCACGGGGTCTATAGGACCTCTTGGCTCACCATTCTTTTTTTTTTTTCTTTTGAGACAGTTTCATTCTGCCTCCCAGGCTGGAGTGCAGTAATGCAATCTCGGCTCACTGCAACCTCCACCTCCTGGGTTCAAGTGATTCTTGTCCCTCAGTCTTCTGAGTAGCTGGGATTAGAGGCACGCGCCACCATGCCTTGCTAATTTTTGTATTTTTAGTAGAGCTGGTATTTCGCCATGTTGGCCAGGCTGGTCTCGAATTCCGACCTCAAGTGATCCACCTGCTTCAGCCTCCCAAAGTGCTTGGGATTACAGGTGTGAGCCACTGTGCCTGGCCTGGCTTGCCATTCTATAGACCCCTTGAATCTTTGTGGATGCCACTGGAGCTCTCTGCTCCCTCACCTGCTGGGGAAGTTAAAGCCACAGTGACCTCCAGTTTTGAGTGACAGCCAGCGATGCCTGCCTACTGAGGGGCGGGGCTGAGGTTGGGTGAGCTGTGAAGAAAACCTGGGTGGGTGGCACTCGGGAATGGCAAAAAAGAACCGGGACTGGCAGAGAGGCCGCCTCACTAGTCCAGAAAGTTTCTTGTTGTGGGGGGCGAATCTGACTCCATGCCTGTGCTTAACCACAAAGAGTAATAACAATGCCAGCAACACCGCTGAGTCTGGCAGTGCCTACTCTGGATGCTACTGCTCACCTCATCACAGCCACTCAGGGACCCCACGCAGGGTGCCTCGGGCACCTGGTGCAGTGTTCAGGGATGCAGGAGGACCCCAGCTGCTGTTCTCAGCCTGCTTGTGTCAAGAAAGGGCACCAGGCCACACTCTGTGCTAAGATCTGCGGAAATGGAAGGAAACATCCTTAACTGTTTCAAAACCGAAAGAAGAAACGTTCTTCATGTCCCCTGAAATCAAATCTGTTAACTAGGAGTTTCCCAAACCCCAGTCCCAGGAATCTGGAGCCTAAACTTAGCTTATCCTTGGAAGGTCACCGGATTACCCTGGGGCAGGGTCAGCCAGCAGCTGCTCAAGATAAACTTGGCTTTTCTGCAGACTCAGGCTTTTCTCACACACAATTAATGAGATCCTGCCATACTTCCCCTGGGAAAGCAGAACAATGGCTGGGGGTGAGCAGGTGGCCTTGGCCAGCACTCTGCCCCAAAGGCCCTTCGCCAGAGATCAGGGATTTGTGTCCCTGCCCAACCAGGACACCTCAGACCTCTACCTGCAGGCCCTGGACCACTGTGACACTCTGGACACAAGGCCTTTCTGCCCCTTGGATGCTGAGCCCCTTCCCGCCTCTGGAATTTTGCACTTGGCTATTGCTTCTGCTCTGCCCAGAACTTCTTCCCTGGATCCGTGTGAAATGTCACCTCTTCAGAGAGGCCTTCAGCACTCTTTCCTGCCGAGTTCTTGGTTGATGGGTTCCTGTCAGCTCCTCTGGACAGGAGTTTCCTGTGCTGTATACTCTGCCTAGAGACAGTGCCTGTCACACAGCAGGTGGGCAGACCCTCCATGAGTGGCAGGAAGGGTAGGTGCATGCTCACGCCGCTCCTGAGTCTGGTCTGGGTTACTCAGAGGCCAGGCTCCATCTGAGGTGGGTTTGTGCAGGGTAGTGTCAGCCCCTGCAGCCCTCTTAGAGCATTTCTGCATTGGAACTGGTTCCATTGCAGCCTGGGGCCTCCACCAACACAGTGAGGTCGGGGTGGAAATCAGACTGTGAAAGGTGAAGCCCGAGACTCTTCTCCCACGTCTCTCAGATGCTGCGAGGCTGCTGCCAAAGAAACATGAGCTTGCCGGGGCCACTCTAGGGTGCCAGCTGGGAGAAAAGAAAAACAGGCAGCCAGGTGAGGAGGGAGAGCCTTGGGCTGGCTGCAGCCCCAAGCTGGCTAGAGGGCGACAGGCAGCCACCTGGGTGGGACGGACACAAGAAGACAGCCACCCTGTGGAGGTTATTCCTAGATACTGGGCAGGAAAGTCAACAAGCAAATGGACAGGTCAAGCTCAAGCCTCTAAAAGCAATGCTGGGGGATGGTGCAGCAAGGTGTTCCTGGAAGTGACCTCAGCAACACAACTTAGAAGATTAGCAGGACCCAACCTGACAGACCCACACTGCAGGCAGGAGAGGCTCACAGGCAGGTGAGTCTGCTGGAGTAGAGTGTGTGCTCAGGGCCATGCCAAGCCTGGTCGCTGGACTGCCCAGTCCTTGTGCATGCAAGTACACATAAATCTGGGCTGTTCTGGGAGTTGGCTCATGGTCCATAGGCAGTGTGAGCCATGGGTCTTAGGTAGGGTGAGGTCCAGGAGAGGGGCCTGCCAGGGTGGCCTAGCTGGGCAAGGGCAGGTCCCTGATGGAGGCCAAGGCAGTCATCCCAGGAAGATGGTGGCATGGAAGGGCTGGGAGTGGGTAGTAAGAGTGAGAGGGCGGGTGGGTCAGCTGGGCCCCTGGAGTGGACAGAGGAGAAGGTTGCAGAGGAAGGGGCGTGGCCCATGGCTCTGCAGCAGGAGGACAGCAGCGACTGAAGTGATAGCTGGGAGAAGGCAGTGGTTCTCGGAGCCATATCTGGTAGGGAGAGGCCACGTGGGGCTGAGCAAAGAGGGTAGGATTTCCCTCCAGCCCCAGAGCCGGGCACACTTGCCTTCAGAGCCTCGCCACTCTGGGCGAGCCAGGCCCTGGCGCTGGCCTTATCTCATCTACTGTCTCAGAACCACCTGAAGAGGAAGAAGGGAGCCTGGCCCTAGGAGGGAGAGAGTCATCAAAGCCCCCACATCTGTGACCAGCCTCAGTGCCATACTTTTTCTATGGGGGTCCTGTTCAATGGAACTGAGCAAGGACCAGATAAAAGAACTGGGCACCCAATGTCCTCAGTCCAGGGCCTGGAGTCCAAACTTTACTGGAAACAAAGGAGCCGACAGAGATTGGGGAGGGAACTGCCAGAAAGGAGCTGGTACCCCCATGGGGCTGTGGGTTTTGGAGCCTGGTGCCCCCCACCTGAGCCTCAGGGGGCCCAGAGTGTCCACCCCAGTGGACCTTTCGAGAAATGGCTGGGCCATTGTGCAGAAGAATGCCCGGAAATCCCGCGCCTCCCTCCTCCAGCAAGGATGGGGGCTCTTCCTCCTGGCCAGGAAACTCCAAGTTGGCTTCCGGAGGCTGGCCTGGGGGCTGGGGTGCCAGGGACACCATCGCCACTGGTGGGAGGGCAGGGCACAGCCCCTCTGTGTCCCTTTGTCTCTCCTGTCTGAAGGCCAGAGCAGGCTGCTAGGCCTGGGGCCACCACTGCCCCTGGGTGCACACCCAGTGTGCTGGGTCACTGGGACTTCCTGAAGTGGTGTCACCTGAACGGGGCCCCCAAGGATGGGGTGCGGGCAATACTGCAGGAAGAGGAGCAGCCCCAGTGAAGACTGAGAGGTCTGGGAAGCCCCTGCGGCTTGGGAGAGTGGGGGGTCCCCAGGCAGGGGAAATTCCCTATTGCCACCACTTTGTGCCAGAGTCTCAGGCTCCAGAGAGGCAGTGAGTGGTGTGGGGGGCGAGGCTGAGGCTCTGGGCCTGACTTCCACATGACTGCCTGGCGTCTGTTTGCCATGGGGTGGGAGAGACAGTGCCGGGACTCAGAGTGGGGCTGGAGAGTGAGAGTGCTGGAAAGGGCCTGGGTGGGGCTTGGACTCTGGCGCGGGCTTTCTGGAGAGCCCCCTACACAGGCCTCTTTAGCAGTGATGGGGTGGGGGGGGGCTCCTGCAAACCTTGGTCAGCGAGCGGAGCGGGCCCCGGTGGAAGAGACCATCGGGCTCAGTCGGGGATGTGGGGGTGAACGCGGTGGTGCGGACTGGGGGTCAAGTGCCTTCTGAAGTGACGGGGCCGGGACACGCAGGGAGGCGGCCCAAGAAGCGCGCCACAGAATGCGCTTGGCCGCGACTAGGACAACACGGAGGGGTGGGGTGGAGCTGGGGGCGGTGGCCAGGCGGGGAGCTGTCCTCGCCCTCAGCTACCCCCAAACGCCGTTGTTTCCCTAACTTCAGCTGCCAGGGGCTCTGTGATTGGCTGCCGGACGACGGCCTGCACATGGATTGGGTGCTTCGGGCCGGGGGGCCGGGCCCAGGGGACAGAATCCGCCCCCGAACCTTCAAAGAGGGTACCTCCCGGCCAGAGCCGGCAGACCGAGGAGGTGCGACTGACCCGCGGGGCAAACGGGCTGGGGCCGGGAGCCGGGAGCGCGGGCGTAAAGGCACCAGGGCCCGCCCAGGGCTCCCGTGCCACTGGGGATTCTGGGGGCCGTCGGGCGCGCGTCTCGCCTCTAGCCATGGGGTCGGCAGCTTTGGAGATCCTGGGCCTGGTGCTATGCTTGGTGGGCTGGGGGGGTCTGATCCTGGCATGCGGGCTGCCCATGTGGCAGGTGACCGCCTTCCTGGACCACAACATCGTGACGGCGCAGACCACCTGGAAGGGGCTGTGGATGTCGTGCGTGGTGCAGAGCACTGGGCACATGCAGTGCAAGGTGTACGACTCGGTGCTAGCTCTGAGCACTGAGGTGCAGGCGGCGCGGGCACTCACCGTGGGCGCCGTGCTGCTGGCGTTCGTTGCGCTCTTCGTGGCCCTGGCGGGCGCGCAGTGCACCACTTGCGTGGCCCCAGGCCCGGCCAAGGCGCGTGTGGCGCTCACGGGCGGCGTGCTCTACCTGCTCTGTGGGCTGCTGGCGCTCGTGCCGCTCTGCTGGTTCGCCAACATTGTCGTCCGCGAATTCTACGACCCGACTGTGCCCGTGTCGCAGAAGTACGAGCTGGGTGCAGCGTTGTACATCGGCTGGGCAGCCACTGCGCTGCTCATGCTAGGAGGCGGCCTCTTGTGTTGCGGCGCCTGGGTCTGCACCGGCCGTCCTGACTTCAGCTTTCCCGTGAAGTATTCAGCGCCGCGGCGGCCCACGGCTACCGGCGATTACGACAAGAAGAATTACGTCTGAGGGCACTAGGCATGGCGGGGCCCTCCTGCCAGCCACGCCTGCGATGCACTGGATGAGCCTGGGGAGCCCCGCAGGGACCACGGCTTCTGCTGGGTCGCACCTCGCGCAAGCTCCGCGGAACGTCCGGCTCTGCACCCAGACGCGATTCCTGGCCTGCCTGCGCCCGCAGCCGGCCCTCTCCTGCCACCAGCCGGGCCCTACCTTGAACAGGTGGACTTGGACAGTTTCCTTTTCTGTTTGCGGCGCTGTTTCCATAGGCAGAGCTGGTGTCAGACTGAGGATGTCACTTTCCCCCGAAGACGCTGGGGGTCTTGGCTGCTGCCTTACTTCCTAGAGACTCCTGCTGACTTCGGAAGGGCGGATGGAGAGCCCAGGGCCCCCACCAGAGAGATTTGTACAGCTGGTCTTTACCCCATTGACGGGGCCTGAGGCCAGGGACCAGTGACTTGGCCGGGACCACCCGGTCTGACTCCAGCATCTCCCCAGGCAAGGCTTGTGGGCACCGGAGCTTGAGAGCGGGTGGGAGTGGGAAGGCTAAGAATCTGCTTAGTAAATGATTTGAACTCTCTCCTACCTGTGTCTTGTTCTCTGTCCAGCCATCTTCCATGTCGAGCAGCCCCATTCATCACCCACTAGCCCCGCCCTCCCAGGGACTCTCGTGACCTCCTCCCAGGGCTGGTGGCTGGGGCCCTTATTTCCATCCTCCCTGCCACCTTCCCACCAGGTAGGAGACACAGCCACCACTTACTACAGCCCAGAAAGGTGGGATCTGCAGTCAGAAGAGCCGCTGCTGCGTCAGGGGGCCTGGGATGGGACAGGAGTGGCAGCAGTGGCAGAAAATGCAGGGTGAAGCGCCCTCAACACAGGATGGTGAGTGGAGGTCCTGTGATGGGAGAAGTGCTAGGGATGAGCAGCTAGGCTGCTGGCTTCTCCCAGAAAGGGCCGAGCCCCATTCAGCACAGGGTGAGGTTTTCCACTGAGCTCTCAGGGCTTGCCTAGTCCCAGGTCCCATCAAGTGGTCACAGGTCTGTAGAACCCCTGACCAGGCCCTTTCCAATGATGGGTGGGGCAGGAACAGAGATGAATGCAGGATGTGCCGGACAACAGTGGCGTTGCCATGGGAGGAAGTGCTGGCAGCTGGTTGCCTGGAGTGCACTCCTTGGCTTCAGCCCCTCGTCCTGACTCCTCTACCAGTCCCAGCATAGCTCCCTACAGAGCCTGTGCCCACTCTAGTGGTCTGGCAGCCTACTCAGACTGGTGCTGACCACTAGCACCTGTGCTAGCCCCTGCTGGGGGCACCCTAGGTAACCTTCTTCCTCCGGGGGCTGCATGGCCTGGGAGTCAGTGCTAGCCCCTGCCGGGCACCTTGGGGTGTGGGTGGGGTGTCCAGAGCCATCTAGCATAGCCATTGAGAGCTCAGTGTTTTTAGCCTTGTTCTAGGCACTTTGAATTAATACATTTTTAACTTTTGACATAAAGCTAGAAGCGGAAGAGAACAGCTGATGAAGGGGCATGCTACAGGAAGGAGCTCTAAGCCCAGCCGGCAGGAAGACTTGGCATCTTCCCCAACCTGGCCTTGGAGGGCCTGCCCAGAAATGACCAGGTCACACCTAGTAGCAGGGAGTCTCCCAGGTCTGGCCAGGCTACCATCATGGGGCAGTGGGAGAACCCCAAGAATGTGGGCTCAGAGGTGATTAGGACAGCCGCTGGAATGTGTGGCAGTTTCCTGGGAGCTACCGTGGAACCAGCGGGTGGGATGAGCTACAGGGAGAGGGGCACCATGGTGCAGAGGTCCTCAGCAGGCCTGATGTGTGCCCCACCTGGGCCTGTATAGCAGGGACCAAAAATAGTCCCCAAGCTTGGCAGTGTGTGATCCCAGGGCTGTGGCCATGGGCAGAAACGGAAACTCTACATTATTGCACCTGGTCAGTGGGGCTGGTAGTACTGGGTCTGGTGCGTTTGGTCAGAAGCTGAAGCCCAAGGCTGCCCAGGAGGGCTGCCTCCTATGCAAGCCCTTTTCTAAGAAAGTAAGAGCAAAGAAAGGCGGCTGCACAGCCTCTGAGCTTTCCCAAATGGCCTGTATAGGCAGCTCAAAGGCCCTGGGAACTGTGAAAACCATCAGAGGCGAGGGGAGGGGCCTGGCCTCCAGTCCAACTCTGACCCTTTTGTGCCCACTGCCTTTTGCCAAGACCTGCACCAAGACCAGACCCACCCACCTGTGTGCAATTTTCCAGGCCACTCTGAGCTTTTCACCACTGACTTAAAACCTAACCAAATCACTCTTGCCCTCAAAGACCCTACCCAGCACAGCTGCTGGCCCAGTGGCCTCATGCCTCACACAGGTGACCTCCCCAGCCTGCCTGCTGCTTCAGCACCTGTGTCCCCAGGTGACAGGGTGAGATGGCCCCAGTCAATGAATAGTTCTCCCCACCAGGAAGGGCAGAAACCTCATTCCTTTCCCACCCCCAACACTCAGTGATGTTCTGGGGAATGTCTGCATGGGGTGGGACGAGCTAATTTCATGACTCCCCTGAATGGGAAGCCCTCACTGCTCTGAAGGCCATGGAGGTCACTAAGGTCCTGTCCAGGTGGGACTTCCTGTGACCAGAGGCCTTAGGGGGCACAGTGTCTCCATCCATGCACCCCTAGCCAGCTGGGCCTTCCCAGCTTGAGGCCTTCCCCTTGTTATCCTCCTCTGTGGTGCTGTGTGCCCACTGTGTGCCTGCAGGGTGGGGCACCTGAATGAGTGCTGGACAGTGACACGAGGTAGGGGTGGGGGGAACCACGGGTGGAGGAATGGCTGAGAGAGTAGACTTGCTATGTGGCTGAGGCCAGGTGGACAGGAGAAAGTGGTAGGTGAACAAAGCCAGGTACTGGCTGGCATCACTGGGCAGTGGCCAGTTCAGGTGCTCTCAGGAGGCGGGGTGCTGAGGGGTCCTGATCTCTGCCCACTGCCACATGGAGGCCCTGGAGCACAGAGTGAGGAGATCTTGTCCTTGGGGCCAATACCCATGCTAATTTCCTGCCAGGTGCTGAGGGCACCTGGGGCCCAGGACCAGGGATCCCTGGAACCACAAAAGTCTCAGGGCACACCCAAGCACTGGCCTCGAGACCAGAATCACGATGGGAATGGAGCCTAAAATAAGCATTTTATTTAATAAAAAATGGCCTCTGCATCTTAAATCACGTCCGTAACTTACAATCTAAATGAAACCAGGTATATAAATAAGAAGGTTATTCCTGAAGAAATCAAATTCTAGAAAAGAAAACAAGAAAAAACAAGTTTCAAACAATGTTGATGTGTTACCTAATTAAACAAATTGCCCAGGTCTTCCCTCTGAGCAGTGCTTCTGAGTAGCTGGGACTACTCCTGAGGGCAAGGCCACCCCAGACTGAGAGGCCCCTACTGTCCTCACAGCACCCCTTGCCTGGGCTGAGCTGTCCTACATCAGAGCTCCTGCCTGCTGGCCTGGGCACCTTCTCACCTCATGGACCCCACCCAGCTGCTCAGCTGGACCCCTGGCTCCCTCCCATGGGGTCTCTCCCTCCATTCCTCAGCACTGCTGCTCAGCCCTCCTGGCCCAGGCCACCTGTACCCCTGCCTCAGTGGCAGGACACACAACAGCTTAATGTCATCACCAAGCAGGCTGCAGGGGAGAGGTCTGCTGCCAGTGCCCACTCCGCTGCTGGAGACAGGCCAAGCCTGATCAGGTGGCTGGCCCAAGGTCACTGCTGATGAGCCTACAGAACTTGCCCAAAATCCCGAGGGTCTGACCCAGAGCCCCTCCCCCAACATGGGCCCCGTGTAGCCCAGGCCACCCTGAGAGGGGCTGTGGGATCCCTGAGGCCCCTATGCTGTTCCCAGCAGAACCCCTCACTCCAGCCCCAACAGGAGAACAGGTGCTTGCCTCCAGACAAATGGATGGATGGAGAGTGGGGAGGACCCCAGGCCTGGCCTGAGGGACCTCCTGCAACAGAGCCGTGGCAGGGCCCATCTGCCACAGCTGCAGCTTCCAGGCTAGGGCTCGGGAAGATGCAGGGCTGGATGTGGCATTCCCTGTGGGGACCCTGGGTTGAGAGATGGTCACAAAGACACAGGGCAGACCTATTTCCCAGGAACCCTTAAGAAACAGGTAGTACAAGGGGCAGTGGGAGGTGTCCCGGGTCAGCGGCCTGCCAGTGACTCCCAAGGGGGCCCTCAGGACAGCTGTGTGCTGGTGAAGGTCCCAGCAGAACCGGCGCTCTGGAATTTCCAGCGGAGCGGCTGCCAACACTTTGCTTTCTCATAAGCCAAGCATACAAAAACTCAGATGCCTGCTCTGCGGGATCTTGCCCAAGGCCTGACCCAAAGGCTGACAGGAGGCTCCAGGCGGGCTCTGAGGGCAGCACCAGGGAGTCTTCGTGTGATATGTGTCACACGCAATGCCCAGCCCCAGAGTGCAGTCAGCAGAAGGTGAATACCAGCTCTTTCTGAAGGGTTCGCAGGGACTTAATGAAATTAGCTGCCTCAAAATGCCCCATTGTGGCCCTGCTGGCAGCCTAGGGACAGATATACTTGGGAAAAATGTGTTGGCCCCAATCTTCTCAAGAAGCTGCTCTGGTCTGAAACCCAAGTAAAAGCCTCTGTTGAGGGACAGAGCAGGGCATCATGGTCGGGCTCTGAGGAGCAGGGCCGCGGCTTCCATCCCTGCAGAACCCCCCACTCACCCTAGGACAGGAGGGAAACAAGTGCATCCAGGAACTTGCTCCGATCCTCAGCTTTCAGCTCAATTACTGAAGTAATGAAAGAAAAACAGTTGTGAGAAGGGAGGAGTGGGAACACAAGACAGGGCACAGAACTCCCCCAGCCTGCCTTCCACTCTGGAGCAGGCCTCCACCACATTCCAAAGTGCGTGGAGGAATCTGCACTCAGTGGTTGTATGTCTCTGTCTCACTGTACTTCATCTTCAGAACTGCTGTTTGCTCTGCTAGAGAGATCAGGGCTGGGGCCTGCAGGGAGAACCCTGCCCTGGGAAGCCAACAGAGGGGACACATGGAGGGGCCCTGTAGACCTGGACAGAGATGGGCCTGCCCACCCTGCCTGGCATGGACCCCTGTCCCGAGTGGGTTGTGGAAGGCCACCACAGTGCATACTGCCCATATCTCGCAAGGCCCTCAAGCTCAGCCGAGCACACAGACCCTTACCGCAAAGCAAAACCAGGCCCCAGGATGGGGATGGCCTGGCCCTGGGAGCCATCTATGCCACCAGCCACAGCCCCGAGAACCCCAGGCCCAGCCCATGCAGGTGGGCACTGGCCATGGCCCACTCTGGCTGTCTACCCCGGCTCTCCACTCTTAGGAGAACCAGGCAGCTCCCAGCCCAAATCCTCCCTGTATACTGAAGGCCAGATACTCTGCAGGCCCGTGGCCATCCTCCAGGTCTCCCCATCACAGACACAGAACAGTTAGCAGGGTCTGCTGTGCAGGGTAAACCAGTGCCACACAGTGCCACAGTCATGGCTGGGTCTGGCTCAAGGAAGGCAACTCTGAGATGGCTGAGGCCACTTGAACAAAGGCTGGGTCTCCCATGACAGTGTCTATCATCGTTAAGGAATCCATGGTGGTGAGGCAAGAAAATTTCCTTCTCAAAGGTACAGGAAGTACTGAGGTTGTTACGGGCTGAATGGTCTTCCCCAAATTCCTTTGTTGAAGCCCTAACCCACAGGACCTTAGAATGTGGCTGTGGTAATTAAGTTCATATGGGGTTGTTAGAGTGGGCTCTAATCCAATCTGGTGTCCTTGGAAGATGAAGCGGTTTGGACACAGACACCAGGGAGGTGTGCAGAGGGAAGACCACGTGAGGACACAGCAAGAAGGTGACCATCTATGTGAACCAAGAAGAGAGGCCTCAGGAGAAGCCAGCTCTGCCCTACCTTGACTTGGGCCTTCTCGGCTCTAGGACTGGGAGGAGACGTGTGGTTGAAGCCACCCTGTCTGTGGTACTTTGTTATGGCAACTTTAACAAACTAACCCAGAGTGAAGTATCAGTTAGTCTGTTTTACTTTAAAACCTGTCAACAAGAATAAGGCAAACATAGCCAAACGTGAACCAAATTCTGTGCTGGTGTCTGGGGAAGCAACGGGTGGGCAGGCCCATCCACTCTGGGCTCATCTGACACATATGTGGGGCCACTGTCCCAGCCGACTTACAGGTAGCACCTATTAACGACACACACCTCTGGCCTGTGTAGAGGTGGCTGGCGCAGCACAGGGCAATGTCCTGGGTCATCACAGGACCTGCTGTTCCGTTACCCAACGAAACAGAAATAACCCAACCTTGACAGGTGAGGCCTGGGGCCCAGTCCCCTAGGCTTGCCAGGAAAGTGATCTTTAGTGCTGGCTATAAGGCCAGAGCCAGACCTGTCACTCCCCCGGGAAACACTGTTTCCCTCTCCAATGGGCCTGAGGCTAACCAGAGCTCCCTGAGCCACCAGGAGCAGCCTGGCCCAGGGCTGGATCTGGAAGGTCAAGAGGGCTGCTGGCCAGACTCCTCCAGTCATGCCAATCTGCCTGGTTCCAGGGTCTGCAGCGGCCTTGAAGGTTCAGGTGGGGAAGCGTGGCAGAGTGGCAGGATGCTCTCACCTGAGAGGTCAAAATGGTTGTGCAGCATCCGGGAGCTGGTGCTTTCTGCTGCCTTCTCAAACGCCCGCCCAAAAAAGCTGTGGACACACAAGATATGTCGGGGGCCAGGCCACCTACAATGAATCCTTCCCAACCCTGGCCCCAGGACAGACACTAGAGGCAAATACCACTCTACTTAGCAGGGCTAATGAGCTGACACCCCCAACACCCCCAACCCTCCAGTCCCAGGATGAGTGGAGGCTGCTCACTTCTTCCTGTCCGAGCTGTCAGTCTCTGGGGGGATGCCCATCACGGTCACTGTGCCATGCTCCATGCTCAGGGGGGCAGCCATCACCAGGGGCAGCAGCTTGCAGCGCCGGTTCTTTGTCTGTGGAGTCGGAGAGCACCCTCTGTCAAGGTGTGGAGGGCTCCAGTTCACCACTCAGAGTCCAGAGCCCGATAGCGCCCTGTCACTGCACTCCCCAAAGCCTCCAGGGACTGCGACCAGAGGAGACGCCTTGGTCCCCACCCAACCACTCCCAGGCCATGATGCTGTATCCCTGAGCCTCCTTGTGCACCAGCCCAGCCCCACTGCTCCTTGGCTGTTCGTTGCAGGGAGCCTGCCCTGCTGTCCTTTCCCTTACCTCCTTCAGGTCCTGTGGCAGCTGCCACCTTCTCTAGGAGGCCCCAGCCCACCCTACCTCGTCCTGCTCCATCCCCTGGCATGTGCCCTCATCTTAACCGCAGCCACCACTCCTTGTCCCCCCTCGCCAGCATGCTCCTCAGGGTAGAGGTTCAAGGTCTCCTTCTCTGCTGTGCCTGTAGCACCCACACCCTATAGTCCAGGTGACCAGCATTCCTGGTGTGTCTAGGACTGAGGGGTGTCCCAGGATGTGCACCAGGATGGGCAGTCACTCCACAACAAGAGGGCCGGGCAGGTGGTGGATGTTCAACACATGTCTGATAAATAAATGGATCCTTTAAAGTGGGTATGTGTTCACCCATTTCACAGATGAGGAAACTGAAGCTAAGGCCAGATCATCTACCTCATGTCACACAACTGGCAAATGAGGAGGGTGATCTTTGAACCCAGCCTAGAGGACTTCAAGGCCCATGCTCTGTCCCTAGTTCATCTTTGACATTACCTGATTGACAGAACACATATCATCTGTCATCATTTTATTGGTTAGTTCAGCAGCAAAAGAAGTTCAACTTCCTGTTAGCACATTTTGTTTGAAATAGCCCTCAGCATAAACTCTCAATCTTAAAGCAGAGGAGGACTTCAATTATTGAAATGTCACATCTGGGAGAAGCCCCATGTCAGCTGGGTGAGGACCGCTGTCCTAAAGCCAGCCAAGTTAGGAGTGTGTTCCAGGCCAATGCAAAGAGGGGTTAGGCCACAGAGAAGACAAAGCCAGGCACAGGAAATCAGCCTAGTGGAAAAGCTGTTGCTGGGAAGCCAGTCTGTGCTGCAACCATCCCGCTTTCCCTGACCTGAGACAACAGGACACAAGCCCCAGCCCTGTTCACTCTGCAAGGGCCCCTCCCTACTCGTCTGAGTGACTTGGACAGCCAGAACTTGAGAACTAGAAGGTTCTTAGGGGTTAACTGAGGAAGACAGCTCAGAAAAGTAATGGATGTGCCTAGAGCCTGGTGAACAGCCACAGGCACCCCAAGGCCAGCGTCTAACTCCCAGTCCAGGGTGTTCTCCAAGCACCTGCCCTCCCATACCCACAGTGCCCACCTGGCCCCTTACCGAACACACAAAGGACTTGAGCAGGTGTTTGCTGAGCAGGCTCAGGGACACTGGCCTAGAGAACAGCATGACATCCGGAGTGCCCTATGGAGGGGAGATGGTCAGTCAGAGGCGGCCACCAGTTTTGTGGCCTGGCACCTGTGGTCTGTGGGAAGCCTGACCTCCATGAGTGAGCAGTATAGGAAAGGCCCCTGGGAGATGACGAGGTTGGTGCAAAGGCAGCTGGCAATGGTTTGCTGGGTGGCTCGCAGCTGCTTCTTGGCGAGTTCCAGGCCATAGTACAGCTTGTCCAGGTTACTCCTGTAACAGGGAAGACACACGGCTTTGGTGGTGCTTGTCAGGAACTCTTGGTAAAATACCAAAGTCACAAATAGATTGCTTGGTTCCCAGTTCAAGAAGAGGTTTGGGGATAAGGATTTATCTTCTCTCCCTCCTGAGTTCTCTTTCACATGAAAGGAAAGAATTATTTAAAATGTATAAGTCCACAGCAATGCAAAACAGAGGTGTGTCGGTGGGTGCAAGTATCAGAAGATAGGAGACTGAAAGCCAACAGAGGCAAGATCCCACACAGGATGACCCAGGAAGGGACCAGGAGGGCTCTGACACAGGGGAGGCTTGGGCAAAGCCTAGAGGTTGGACAAGGTATCCCCTCAAACCCAATGGATAAATTTTTACTCTTCTCCCCAAAAAGGGAGGGCTCCCCTCTGAATACATGAAATGTACCCTCTGTGGATAAGTAGGGTCCTCAAGCAAAGCCCCTTGGTCCTACAGTGGGGAGTCCCCAAGTGTCACAGTTGGCTCCTGCCTACTAAGGTGAATCAATGTTTTATGACCAGCGAGCTGTGCCCAGATACCCATGGCTCAACCAAGAAGGGTCCACAGACCCCTTCTTGAATATGAAAGATATCAGGCCATTTGAGAAATGCTTATGGCCTGAAAAAATAACCCTGGAGGAAACAGATAATTTGGAGACCAAAAGAAAACTAAAATGAACTCTAGTAAGTATCCTCAGAAAGATTTGCACAACGATTACATTCCTAAACCAAGAATAGGACGCTATGAAAAAGGAACAGTCAAAGATAAGGAAATGTTGATGGAAATTAAAACAACTGCAAAAGATAAAACATCTACTGAAAGTCCAGATGATAAGTCAAGAAAAGCTTCTTCAACTTAGATAACAAGACAAAGTCATGGAAAATGTAAGGCAGAAATATAAGACAGAGCATCATTCCAGGAAGCCTGGAAAGCTAGAATTAAAAAACACAGATGTTGTCTGTTGGGGGACTAGTAAAGAAATAGTAAAATAAAGATATCGTCAGATATATAAGAACTGAGAAAGTTTATCTCACATGCACTCTTTCTTTGAATGTTACTTGAGAACTGTGCTCTAATTTAATGAGAGAGCACATGAAACAAAGATGAAGATCCCAAGAAACAGTGGACCTAACTAAGCGGCACAGCCAAGATTTGGACATCCATGAGCACAGTGGAAAGCAGGCCTAGACAGTTGCAGGGCCAGGTTGTGGTGGGAAGACAGAACTCCAGACTCTCCAGTTAAAAAGGGGCTCAGAGAATAATAGGTGGAAGGAGTCTAGGGGAGAACAAAATGCATATGATAAAGGAGGCAATTAAAAACACCAGGAAAAACAAAGAGCTGTGCCAGAAAGTAATCTATTACTACATATGATTGTCTCTGGAATAGTTTACTAGCACAATAAAGTAAAACTATGTGTTGACCTTCATCTTTTAAAATTAACCTATAGCAGAAGATAAGACAATTTACATCATTTTATCTTACCCAAGATTGTTATCAGTCTTGAAAACGTAAAAGCACAGATTTCAGAGAGTGCAGGGAGAGCTAAAGAACAAAGTCAGGATGATTCCATGGCTTGGATATTTGTCCCTCCAAACCTCATGTTGGAATCTGATCCAGGTCTTAGACGTGGAGCCTGAGGGGAAGTGGGGACATAGGGGCAGATCCCTCAGGAATAGATGAATGCCCTCCCTGAGATTAGGGGTATAAGTGAGTTCTTACTCTATTAGTTCCTGTGACAGCTGGTTGTTAAAAAGAGCCTAGTACCTGCCACCTCTCTCTTCCTTCCTTCATCACCACATGACCTCTGCACACACTGGCTCCCCTTCTGCCATGAGTGGAAGCAGCCTGAGGCCCTCACCACATGCAGATACCCAATCTTGAGTGTTCCAGCCATCAGAATTGTGAGCCAAATAAACCTTTTCTCCTTATATTACCCAGCATCAGGTATTCCTTTGTAGCAACATAAAATGGACTAAGACCATTTTAAATATCCTTTTCTTACAAAGTAGGGTCTCAGACGAGACACTGGTGATAAAAGAAGAAGTTAAAAATAGTGGCATAACTGTACCAACAGGAGGGAAGGAGGACAAGAGTGGGATTAATGCTCCTTTGTCATAGGAGGAAGTTGGTAGACGATCTCTAAAGCCTACCCAACAAAGCTGGAATGATGGCAGCAACAGTGATAGGACAGTTTTTGGATTTCCCCAAATTTCTAGATAAAAGCGGAGCAACTAGATTCCAGAATCAAAAACTTAGGACTCACATTTGCAATAAATGAAGAGAAGGGAATGCTTCAAACCCCAAAATGTAAGCAGGTGAAAAGAGACCATGAACAGCCACAAAACAGGTATACTATCTACATCAGCACAGGAGAAAGTTGAGATGTAGTGAGACCTAAGAAGAATTAAAACTCTGGGCAACTGGAGAGCAGTGGCCCAAACTGAGAGGAGCTTTGCCCTATGCAAGAGAGGTGAGTGCAGTGGGCCAAGGGAAAGTGTAAGGGGCCTCCCTAGAGTACAAGGAGTCCTGGTTATGAGCAAGGAGTCCTGTTAAACAGCAAGGAATCCTGGTAAAGAGCAAGGGGCCTTGGTAAAGTATAAGGAGACTGCAGTAAAGAGTAAGGGGTCCAGCCTGGCCAACCTATCTGTACAAAAAACATAAAAATTAGCCAGGCGTGGTGGTGTGCGCCTGTAGTCCCAGCTACTTAGGAGGCTTAGGCAGGAGAATTGCTTGAACTTGGGAGGCGGAGGTTGAAGTAAGTGGAAATCGAGCCACTTCACTCCAGCTTGAGTGATAGAGCAAGATTCTGTCTCAAAAAACAAAAACAAAAACAAAAAAACCCTCTACTGAATCATGTCTAATGTAAGGACTAAAACCATAAAGTCTTAGTAGAAAAAATAATATGAAGCCGGGCGCGGTGGCTCAAGCCTGTAATCCCAGCACTTTGGGAGGCTGAGGCGGGTGGATCACGAGGTCAAGAGATCGAGACCGTCCTGGTCAACATGGTGAAACCCCGTCTCTACTAAAACTACAAAAAATTAGTTGGGCATGGTGGTGCGTGCCTGTAATCCCAGCTACTCAGGAGGCTGAGGCAGGAGAATTGCCTGAA